CGTCCAGAATGTACATAAATACCTCTTTAATTGTACCTCATTTCCTTCCTATTTTTGTATCTTTTTGTATCTTACATTTCTCATCTAAGCTTAAAAATGCCGTAAAATTCGGTACTTTTGTATTACTCCTAAACTTTTCCTCGACTTTTTTTTGATGGCAGATGGGCACTGGCTACTTTTCAGGCCAAGGAAACACTCCATTATCGAATTGTTACTCATGCAATCCCCAAAAGAGGGAGCTATTGACACTCCAACCATCTGGTGGTTGTTGTTGGCAAAGTGCCGCTTTTGGCTACTGCCAAGTGTTTCCAGATTTTCCTGTAGATGAAATACAGGAGACGAAGAAAAGGACAGAGCCGTGAGGGAAGGTGTGAAACCTTTTGTCCTTTTGTTTTTCGTCAATTGAGTCTTTTTGTAGATATCTGTGTTTTTTTCAAGAATTTTTGTCGTGTTTAAGATATTTTACTGTTGTTTTCAGTGATAAATTGTTGCTGACTTTGTTCTTACACACTCCACTGATTCTGGATTCTTCGTTCTGAACTTGTCTACTGTTACTGGTTTTTTTTTTTACAAGATTACAGGCTCCTAAAGTACTGTGGGATGCCGCGACAGTCACGGGTTCTAAAATTTGCTAAGTTTTTGCTTACTAGTTAGAACACCGAAGCTCTTCCATAATTTACCCAATCGTTTGACAACAAGGATACCAAGGCTATCGGAAATTTCTTTTTTTATATAATATCGTTTGTTCTATTCATTTTGTCTGAATTAGTCTGCGCAAGTTCCGATGTTATTGCGATGCTACGACTGCTCATTGGCAGTTGTGCCAGGCCGTTCGTTTGTGAGCTCAGTAACTCCAGGTAGTACCTGACGCGTATTTGATATAACCGCATCACTTCTTCGGGAGTCACCCGAGTGGTCGTTTACTTTGTCGCAAGTACCACTTACTGGAACAAAATGTCTACTGATTGTCAGCAACACGAGCAAAATCCGAGGTGTGCTTGGATTAAAACTGTTTCTCATTTATTCACTGTAAAGTGAATGAGCGACAACAGTCAGGCAATTTAATTTATTCCGGTGAATAAATTACACAAATTAGTTCGGAGCCATATGAACAATATCACTGCTTTTTAGACTCTCTTCTTTCGGCTTTTGTTCAGAGGCTACCAGCAGCTTTCATCGCCATTCGTACCGCTTTACTGGCCGGACGGAATATCTGAATTAATTGTAATATTCTGTGCATCTTAAATATATCAGGAATGACAAGATTCACCGGAACTTCTTTGTTATCCAGGTGTTCCGGACAGACACATGGATAACGAAGAAGGATTTTCGGTGAAACAGTTATCATCTTATTAGTCAGTACCTCCCGATCATTTGTTAGTGTACCTCGCTACCTCTTCTTCCCATCTGAGTTTTTATGCTGACACTGAATAGCGAGCTGTGAAATCAGTTTTTTTTTGTTGTGAAATACTTCACTAGTAAGAGACGGTGCGTTGTGGATGATCAAACTTTGTTTTGCTTTTTTTCTAATTTATATTTTACCAGAAATGCCAAAGATAGTGTTTTTATCCCATGTTAGTGATATTACATGTTAGATACTCTCATGTGCCAGGCGCAGCTATACCCTTGAAAGTAAAATAATTAAATTTCAACTAATTTTGAGGGGAAAATCGAGTGGCTGAGATGACTATTCGGGTGAGCTAACTGTTAGTTGAGCAGCGAGTAGTATGGTTCCAACCTGGAATGAGCAGTTCATTTCTTCCGAAACAGTCATCGTTCCGCCGGCATTATCGAACTGTCCGCAGTAGTGTGGTGCCGAGAAAATAGTGACCAGGCGTCTATTGGCAAAAAACTCATATCCATCCTGCACCACCTGGTGGGCACGGGCAATGAGGTCCAGGTCGAGCTTCTGGCACACGTCCACCACGACATCCTGCCCAAATGTATACGAAGCACCACGTGTATTCGCCTGCCAGCCTTTTACCCATTGATCC